TGCTGTCAGTAATGCTTACTTCTGGGATAAATATTATCTCTGGAAGTCATTTAAAATGTCTGTATCTTTTGAACAGGCTAAGAGTGGGTTTTTTTTCTGACTAGAATAAAAAGAAGACATGAAGATAAGATATGATCCATTTTTAAAAAGGCATAAATGCAGAGGTGATAACAAAGCAGAGACATCAATGTCATGTTTTATTTTGAAATACCCAATATTAGGAGCTTAATAAGGAAATAAGCCTGTCATTAGAATAATTTACTATTAGTAATTTACTAATATCTCTAACAACAGTAAAGATATGCATTTCATACATATTTTTGACTTCTGAATAAACAAACTAGCTTAACTAGCATGAACAGGGTTTTCTTTTGGATGCCTGTTGAGTATTGTCATTAACCCCTTTAATAGTACAGCTAGCTCCTGTCAGAACGTGTATGTAACTTCAGCCTGAGGTCACTGACTCGCTTCTCAAACAAAAATCAAATGGGAGGTGTTAAGTTCAAAACATATTCTTGAAATGTTCTGGCAATGGAAATATTAAACCAAAATATTCTAGTTTTGGGTGTTGTTGGAATGACATTTGAATGTCATTCCAACTCAACATTTTCCTAAGTTGATTTCTTGAAATGAAGCTTCCATGGGAAATTACGAGATGTTATTTGAGCAGCAGAAGGAGGTTGTGTGGTGAAGTGAATTTGGGAAACACTTACTCGTGTAAACAGAGCTTCTGTTTACTTGTATTTGCTGCAGGCACACCTAGAACATCTAACACGCTGGCATACACTGTGGTTTCCAAGAGGTGAATTGACAAAGCAGTTTTTTCAATTTGTGTTTGACCCTGGGAGTAATGTTCTATGGAAAGCACTTTAGAAAATGTTCTAACATGATTTGAAATTCTGAAAGCTATCTGTAGATAAGATATTAATGCTTTTTCAAAGGGAAAAACCCTGAATTTAATATATATATACATGCAGCATTAATTTGAAACAGGCTATTTCAAATAAACCCAATATACCTATATTTTGAATTCCACATTTGTGGAGCAGAATCAAAGAAAATATATAAGACTTCTAACTCTGAGGTTTTACATCTACAAGTTCACTGGGGAGACCCTTTATCTTGAGACTACTTTCAGCCATGTGAGCAGTCACAGTATGAAAATATACCAGCACAAAAATCTGTGCTGTAGGAGAAGTAACCTTTTTTCCTGCTACATGTAATGTAGATACTTCTTTTACTATTCTTTCCTGCAGGCTATTTAATTTCCTGCAGTGTTTGTTGATAAATTTTTAACGTATCTGGACCAGCTAACAAAAGATGAGCTACCGGAGACTGGCCTTGTGTTTAATCCGTCTACAGCAATGTTTCATTCATACAGGGTCTAACCGTGTGCCACTAATTATAGCTGCAATTAGCCCCAGAGTGTAGGTTCGGCATTAACAGCAACTTGATGAATTATTGGCCACTTTATAAACTAGCATTGGCACCTTCTCCTTCAATTGTTCACACTAAATCTAATGTGTTTATGTTCTTTCTGTGTTTAGTGCTTTGTGAATGATCTTGTTAATTTGCTGTGTATTTTGTGATATCCACGCTGAAATATCTTAGCACAAAACTTGGCATAGTTATTGGATTTAAGGATGTGGGTATGTAAACAGAATTCATTTATCTCTCTGGGATTTTTTTTTTTTTTTTTTTTTTTTTTTTTTTTTGTGGAGACATGGTTTCCCTATGTTGCCCAGGCTAATCTTAAACTTCTAGGCTCAAGTGATCCTCCCACCTCAGCCTCCTAAATTGATGGGATTATATACATGAGCCACTATGCCCAATGTTTGGTATGTTTCAAAGGCAGAATCTAAAGTGAGCTTTAACCTTTTCTCTCAGTTATGTCATTGTCCTTTGGACAGTGGAGGAATAATACAAAACAAAGGAACGGCGATTTCTTACCCTGTCACAGCTACCTATTTGTGTGTATTTTGTTTTGCCTTGACATTACAGTCTAGTGAAAGTAATAGTATTCTGCCATCTATCTTTAACATGATCATAAGTATGATTTCCAGCACACAAACCAATGACATCTTTGTTATTTTTCACCAAATTACAATTTCATACTTATTAAGGTTATTAGATGTGTTCAAATAACCATAATTGGAAAAGCAACCTGACTGTGATTGATTTTTGTTCTTTCTTTACTATATGAGACTGCCTTTGACTTCAAAGAGTTATCTTAGTTCAGAATAGAGGGTAGAACAGGAACCTGTGAAATGATTCATGGGAGGAGATGGAAGTGAATGATTAGTTCTTGTGCCTCTAGTCTCCAGTAACGGCATAAATCCTTAGGGCAGTTCTTTAATGTCAGCCTGAATGCCTGCCTGTGTCAAATCACATATAGGCTAGTACATATTATGAATTAAGAAATCTGGGGAATGAACAAAAATTCCTTTATACAGTTGTTCATTTTCAAATGATGTCACATAGACTTAAAGATACAGGAGGAAAGCAAAATATTGCTCTCATTTAACCATAAAAACTGTATTTGCATGTTTATAAACACAAAGACCATTCACATAAGGCTAAGCACCTTTTTGGGACAAGAGAAAACATGGTTAATTGATTGTGGGCTAAGGACTAACTGTGACTTCTCAGGTCCACAAACTACTTTATTCCTAGATTGAAAATTGTTAAGGTCTGTTGATTCTTAAAATAATGAGGAAGGCAATGAATATATAGCATGTTTATTACTGTGTCATTTAAATCATTGAATTTTATAACAGCCCTTCTCTCCCTGGGAGAATAAAACTTAATATGTGCGGTTTCCTTTGCATTATATGATACATGTTGAAGAATATTCTCTTAGGGAGTTAATATCACAAGTTGAAAAACAGTTCCTTCTTTCCTTCGTCATTCTTAACAGAAGTCACCGAGAAGTACCAGACATGCTAACGTATTCAGCTGGCCACTACCAAATCACAGGCCCCAAACAGAGGAAAGAAAGTCGTCAATGAAGAGACAAGAACTTACTGTAACACACTGAAAATAAGACAGCCCAGCAACAGGAATTCCTCTTTGATAAGTGTTGGAGAAGTCACACTCTAACAGCAGGTCTCATTGTCAGGAACACAATTATCAGATGCAAAAGTACAAAGATCTGGACAAGGTGTACCTTCCTTTCCTTGTTCCACTAGTGCTCTCTTGAGCCCTCTACTCTCTTCCATCCAATGCCCAGAATACTACAGGTTACCTATAACCCCTCTGAAAATGCTGTTTTCTGATGGGAACCCTGAGAATACTGCCCTTCAACAGGAAACTGGGTGGTGATCCACCTACATGAAAAGTCATCACCAATTACCGTTCCTTCTCTGCTGAAGCCAATGTAATGCTAAGGAAACCCAAATTTCTAAAACATTCTGTCTCATCAACTCTTTTTTTTTGAGATGGAGTCTTACTCTGTTGCCTAGGCTGAAGGGCAATGGCATGATCTCAGCTCACAGTAACCTCCGCCTCCTGGTTTCAAGGAATTACTCTGCCCCAGCCTCCTGAATAGCTGGAATTACAGGCACCCGCCATCATGCCTAGCTAATTTTTGTAGAGACAGGGTTTTTTGTTTTTTTTTTTTTGAGATGGGAGTTTTGCTCTTGTTACCCAGGCTGGAGTGCAATGGCGCGATCTCAGCTCACCGCAACCTCCGCCTCCTGGGTTCAGGCAATTCTCCTGCCTCAGCCTCCTGAGTAGCTGGGATTACAGGCACATGCCACCGTGCCCAGCTAATTTTTTGTATTTTTAGTAGAGACGGGGTTTCACCATGTTGACCAGAATGGTCTCAATCTCTTGACCTCGTGATCTACTCGCCTCGGCCTCCCAAAGTGTTGGGATTACAGGCGTGAGCCACCGTGCCCGGCCCAACAGGGTTTTACCATGTTTTCCAGGCTGGTCTTGAACTCCTGACCTCAGGTGATCCATTCGCCTCCCAAAGTGCTGGGTTTCTAGGCGTAAGCCACCATGCCTGGCCCCATCAACTCCTTCTATTAGAAAGAAGGTTTTGTTACCTCTTTGAGCATTTGTAAAAGTATGCTATGTTTGGCATCTAGGGATGGTCATTTGTATTATGTTTAGTATATCTCGTCTTCTGAGAGAATTATTTATATAATAAAGAATGGTAGGAAAAAACAAATCTCAAATTTGTGTGGCAAGCTATTCAATATAAATCAACTGGGGGAAATGCTATACAACGAATAAAGGCAGCTCTTAACTGAAAAAAAAATAAAAACTTTTTAGAAAAAAAAAAGCAAGGTTGGATGTGGTGGCTCACGTCTGTAATCCTAGCACTTTGGGAGGCCAGAGCAGGTAGATCACCTGAGGCCAGGAGTTCAAGACCAGCCTATCCAACATGGTGAAACCTCATCTCTACTAAAAATACAAAAATTAGCTGGGTTTGGTGGTGCATACTTGTAGTCCCAGCTACTCAGGAGGCTGCGGCAGAATTGCTTGAACCCTGGAGTCAGAGGTTGCAGTGAGCTTAGATCGTGGCATTGCATTCCAGTCTGGGCAACAGTGAGATTCCATCTTAAAAAAAAAAAAAAAGAATGCATTGTAATGGGTGTTAGAAGCAGCTCTCTTTATGTGTTTCTCTTTGTGTGGCACCTTTCATTTAGGATAGGTTTCAATCCCACAGTCCCATTGCGGTGAGTTTGGTCTCTGGAATTGGCAGGTATAGGCAGGGATCTTTATATGTGTGGTCCTATGTTAATCTCTGCAAGCTTCAGTTTTTTCATATGTGAAACATAATTAACAATAAGATATAAGATACTTTGTAAAACTGTTGTTAGGATTTAAACAGGTGAAAGTTCTAGAATTATTCACATATTGCAAACATTTTTGTGAGGATTAAGTATGATAAGCCATGTGAAGGTCATAGGTGTATCCTGTGAGGTGTTCAGTGCACATTTAACATCCCTTCTCTCTTCTCCTTCTTAATGATCATTTCTTATCTCCTTCAGGGAAAGCACAGACTGCATGTAGACACTGGAATGGAGGGTGATTGGTGTGGCCTTATTCCTGTTGGACAGCCTTGTACTCAGGTTAAAACCACAGGCCTGAAGTGGAACCTCAGTAAGTAGAACCTTTCCATAAAGGAATGAATGATTTCTTTTCTTTTCTTTTTTCTTTTTTCTCTTTTTCTTTCTTTTCTTTTCTTTTTTTTTTTTTTTTTAATGTCTCTATGGTCTACACCTAGGAGGAATTGCTGGGTCATATGATAGCTCTATGTTTAACCTATTGAGGAACTGCCAGACTACCTTCCAGTGTGCCTGAATCATTTTACATTTCTATGTGCAGTATAAATAAGAGTGTTCCAGTTTCTCCACATTCTCATACTTGTTATTGTCTGGTTTCTGTCTTATAGCCGTCCTAGAGCATGTGAAGGTGGCATCTCATTGGGGTTTTGATTTCCATTTCTCTGATGACTAATTATGTCAAGCATCTTTCCTTGTGCTTAGGGAACATTTATGTATCATCATTGGAGACATGTCTGTTCAGATCTTTTACCCATATTTTATCTGGCTATTTTTACATTGAGTTGTAAGAGTCCTTTATATATTGTAGATACAAGGCCTTTATCCAGGTGTGTGACTTGCAAAAACTTTTTTCTGAAATTTAATTAACTAAATTAATAAACGTTAATGAAGTCTGTTTTTTCTATTATGGATCATACTTTTGGTGTCATAACAAAGAACTATTTGCCCCACCTTCTTCATGATTTTGTGTATTTGAAAAACCTATTTTACTTTTCTAGAGAAGCAGCAAGTTCTTTTTTCTGGTCAAATCTCTGACATAAGATTTGTTGCTCTTACTAAATTTTAAAATGTTTTTTAGTGATTGTGAACTATGTTAGGTCCTAGTAGTACTAAAACGATTTGATTTTAAAATATTAAAAATAAGGGGCTCCTGTTCATGAAATAATTGCTGATTCCAAAAAGAACCATCAGTCATTGTGAAATCAATCAACTCTAGTCTTTGTAAGAATAGCAGTAATTTAATCAAAGAGCTCTGATTGAACATCAAAGGGATCATCTCCTGATTGACCAATACCATTAAGGTTGTCCAAGTAAAATATGGAACTATGTCATTCTTGTCTAACAGGTAAAGCATTTAGATGATGACAAGAAAATAAATCCATTTCCAAGAAATAAATATTTTGAAACAAAAAGACTTGAAAAAGACCTTTCTATGAGCCACTGCAGGAACAATTAGGAAAAACTAGAAATATTTTGAAACACACGTCTAGAGAGCTCATCAGAATTTGAAAGGACTGCGAGACTACATCTCCTCCAGTGCACAGAAATTTATGACAGTCTTTGAAGCTGTTTAGCTGAAACTGACATGAGCTCTTATTGGAAGCTTTTTTGAAAACATTCTGGCCCAAAACAACTGTTTTATTTTTTATAGTTCTCATTACTTCCAAGGGCACCCAATCTAGACAGTGGTGAACTTCCTGCTGGATCTTGGAGCGATCATACTTTTCAGGGCTGGCACCATGAAGAGCACTAAGCGAAGTAAAGAGGAACATTGGCACTAGGGGCAGCTGCCCCAGCTTCCTTTTTCCTACAGTAATTAAAAAGAGTCATACATTAGACATGATTCTTGGATCTTTTTTTTTTTTTTTTTTTTTTTTTAGATGGAGTTTCGCTCTTGTTACCCAGGTTGGAGTGTAATGGCGCGATCTCGGCTCACCGCAACCTCTGCCTCCTGGGTTCAGGCAATTCTCCTGCCTCAGCCTCCTGAGTAGGTGGGATTACAGGCACATGTCACCATGCCCAGCTAATTTTTTGTATTTTTAGTAGAGATGGGGTTTCACCATGTTGACCAGGATGGTCTCGATCTCTTGACCTCGTGATCCACCCACCTTGGCCTCCCAAAGTGCTGGCATTACAGGCGTGAGCCACCACACTCGCGCCCAGCAATTCTTGGATCTTTAGAATATCCTTTGATCCTGTATTTCCCACAGTAACATACACATTGTATTAGTCCATTTTCTCATATTGCTGTAAAGAACTACCTGAGACTGGGTAGTTTATGAAGAAAAGAGGTTTACCTGACTCACAGTTATGCAGGCTTATCAGGAAGCATGACCAGGAGGCCTCAGGAAACTTAAAATCATGGTGGAAAATGAAAGGGAAGCAGGCACCTTCTTCACATGGCAGTAAGAGAGAATGAGAATGATGGAGGAGGTGCCACATACTTTAAACCATCAGATCTTATGAGAAGTCATTCACTACCAGGAGAACAAGAGGGAAGCTCGCCCCCATGATTCAGTCACCTCCCCCCAGGTTCCTCCACCAACATTAGAAATTACAATTCACCATGAGGTTTGGGTGGGGATAGGGTCAAATCATAGCACACATCCTAATTCTGTGTAAGGTTTTCTCTGGTAAGAGGGCCTTCAGCATGATGAGGGCAGGGCTCTAACCTTCCTGAGATAACTTTTGATCCTGCCTACATGCAATATACCATTACTTATTTATATAGTTACACATCACTTTGACTTTTGAAGTAATTATTTTTTCTCCAACATCATAAAAAAATAAAAATAAAATAAACAATGGAATATGCAAAGCAATACAGTTGAAACACAAAGTGCTTCATCAGTTAATCAGTTACCTGTTGTAAAAGTGCAAATTCATGGGGTCTTCTGATAGGTAATATTGCCTTGTTAAAAGTTAATAAAAGTAAATGTGGTATCATGTTGACTTGAAGAAAAGTGGGTATATTTCATTCAGAGAGGGTCCCTGCTTTCCTCAGTGCTGTCGTCTGTGAACGCAGAGCCCTGAGGTCGGGGTCATTTTGTCAGTCATGGCTACAAAGGGACAGGGTGAAGGTGGGCTTGCAGAAAGAGGAAGAAGATGCAGACACTTAGTTGGGGGCAGTTCACTTCTTGGGTTAATGGGAGTAAGCAAGTCCTTGTGAAGAAACTTGTCAAGGTCCTCACGTGTGACCTCATGGCTTGATCTCTACCAGTCTACACCCACTCTAAGTACATGATGCCAGACATTCTAAAAGTAGTTGGATTTATCTGTTACCATTTTGCAATATTTCACATGCCATTCTAATGTTAAAGAAAAATCATTTGAATGATAACCTAGGTGCTGATCAACCAGGAATGATACTTTTCAAATATTACTGAAGTTACTTATATGTACAGTCTTTTATTTCATAGCAATATGCTATGAATATTCTTTGACTTGTATCTTGTACAAGAGTTGCTCTGGGATATATACAGTTGGGAGTAAAATAGCTATGTCATAGACCATCACATCTTCACCTGTATGAGATGCACCATATTGCTCTGCACAGTGGTTGCACCAACGTGCACTCAGCTGAGGAGTACGTAAAAGTTCCCCTGTTCTATATCAACAGTTTTGTTGTTACCAAAGTTAATCATTTTTTCCCAGCCTGATGAGTGTAAATGATATGTTTTTAGGGTCTCTGCTGATAAGGATAAGCATCTCTTTGTAGTTATTCATGCTGGTTTCTTCTGTGAATTGCTACTTTCTTTTGCCTATTTTTCCATTGGGATGTTAATTCTTAGAAGTTCCGAAGACTGTCTTTTTCCTGGCTGTACTTTGGCTTTTCAGTTTGTTTATGGTGTTTTTATGTGAACAGAGGTTACTGAGTTAAATGTAGTCAAAATTGATCAGATTTGTAATTTTTGTGTAAGTCATCTTTCTATTCACTATGGTCATAAAGATACTCTCATTTAAGTTTTATATTTCATGTATGGGCCTTTTCTTTCACCCGAAATTGATTTTTGTGTATGATATAAGATAACTGATTGTTCTAACATCATTTGTTATCCTTTCTCCAGTGATTCTCAGTGTAGCACAGGTGTTCATATGTATGGGTATATTTCTTGGATCTGTTTTGTTCCCCTAGCTTACCTGCTTCTTCCTGTACTGAAGCCATACTGCCTTTATTACCACAGCTTTATAGTAAATATTGAAATGTGTTGAGTCCTGAAACGTTGTTCTTCAAAATTGTCATGCTATTCCTGGCTTTTTGCTCTTCTTTATGAATTTTAGAAGTAACTTGACCAGTGTCTCTCTCACACAATTCTGTCATAATTTTTACTGAAATTACTTTTAATGCATACATAATTAATTTGGGAAGAATAGAATGATTGATGAAGAAAATTTCTATGTGTAATTGAGTCTTCCCATCCACAAATTTAGTTTAGCTCTCTATTTACTTAGAACTTGTAAATTCCTTTCAATAATTTTATAATTTTCTCTATAAATATCCTATGCATCTTTTATAAGAGTTATTTCTATAAACCCTGTATTTTGTGTTCCTAGTATAAATTATACTTTAAAAAATACATTTTCTGTTGTTGAGATATAGACATATAATTGATTTTTGTCTATTATGTTAATATATTGATGAACATTTATTATTTCTGCAACTGTGACTGTAGAGTCACTTGGTTTTCTATACACAATCGTATTTCTGTTAATCAAGTTTTCTTCTGCAGTCTGTAACAAATAGAATTGTTTTAAGTTATTATAATGGACTGATATGGTGTTTTCCTCATATAACAACATGCAGAGGTAAGTACTTATAGGGCAAGGTTTCTACGATTCCCTCAGCCTTTGTCTCAAAATCTAAGATGTCTGTTGCAACTTAAGCTATATCGTGCCCCAGTGGGCATCAGAAGAAAAGAGAGGGAAGGGAGAAGAAAGGGTTTGTAACAGGGATCAGAGACATCAGAGATTCCCAGCATTCTCAGAAACCTTTCCTGTGTCTCATCTTTTGCCTCAGTGGCCAAAACTGTATCAGTAGCCACCCTAGTTTCAAGGGAGACTGTACGTGCAGTTTTTTTTTATCCAAGTACATTGTCACTCCAAATAAAACTGAGGTTCCATCAGTAAGGAAGAAGAGAATGACTAGGAGTCTGCTCTTCTGTCAAAAAAATGCCTTTGCTTCATTCATCATCTCGAACATTTTATCTATGTGTATCATAAAAAATTTATTTTAGCTTTCTTTCAGTCATATTCATATGGATTGCTGTTGCTTCTGTTGAAAAATCTACAGTCAATGAAATTCTTGTTTATAATCTG